ATTTGAAAGAGTGGACTGCGGTCAGTGTGCCATTTGAATTTGTTTTGATGGATAGGTGGGAATTGTGTAATTTGTGTAATTTAGGTACTGTTCCAAAGATCATTGTGACAGTTTTGTCAGTGTTCAGGAAGAGTTTGTATTTTGCGATCCACTTTTCTACCTTTGTAAACTGGTCTTGGAGCACAGCCTCAAGCTGCGGTAGATTGGATTTGCTCGCATAGATTACTGTGTCATCTGCGTACATGTGTACATTTGAGGACTGGCAGACATTAGGCAGATCATTTATAAATAATGTAAATAGTAGGGGGCCGAGAGTGGAACCCTGGGGAACACCACACGTGACTGGGAGAGGGAGGGAGTCACTGTCAGAAATGGACACATATTGCGAGCGATCCGATACATACGATCAAAACCAGTTTAGAGAATGATCACCAATACCTGAGTTTTCGAGTTTGTGCAGTAGAATGTCGTGGTCTACTGTGTCAAAGGCCTTTGCAAAATCAAGGAAAATAGCTCCAGTTAGGTCTCCTTGTTCCATGCCAGTTTGGATGTCATTGCAAACTTTTAAGAGGGCAGTTGTAGTGGAGTGATTCTGGCGAAAGCCCGATTGATCAGGGGTCAGATAGTTTAATTGTTCGTAGTACTCACAAAGTTGCGTATGGACACATTTTTCTAAGATTTTTGACAATACCAGGAGCAATGATATTGGGCGATAGTTAGAAACCAAAGTAGTGTCACCACTTTTATGGATAGGCATTACTCTCGCAGTCTTCCAAAGTTTGGGTATGTATCCAGACACCAAGGATTCATTAATTAGAGTTGAGACAGGTTTAGCAATTGCCGGCGCACTGAGCTTCAACAGCATTGCTGGGATTTCATCAGGTCCAGACTGGTTTTTCGTTTTTAGATTATTAAGATGTTTTTTAATGGCACTAACAGGTACAGGTCTAAAATTAAACTTATCTATATTGGGCCTTTGCAAATTTAGTGGGACCTGATCCACATTTGTAGTTTCAGGATGCGTGTCATTTATTAGCTTGGCAATCAGGGCAGTGGAGCATCCGACAAAATAATTGTTAAAGGCATTTGCCACATCTAAGGGAAGTTGCAGGGTTTGGTTATCCACTTTGACAGTGGAGGGTTGGGAGTGGATTGGGGGAGTTTGTAGTTTATTTATGACTTTCCAAAAGTTTCTAGGGTTTGAGATGTTACTGTTCAGATTTTCATAGAAATATTGGGCCTTGGCCAGTTTTGTCTCTTTTGTGCATATATTTCGCCATTGTCTATAGGCACAGTGATCATTCATAGAGCCAGTACGCTTAAACTTTGACCACAAAGAATCCCGAAACTGGTACATTTGGATGAGGTCAGCTGTGATCCAGTTCATATGTGCTCCTTTTACCCTCACCTTTCGCAGCGGGGCATGCAAATTCCAAATTTGTAGGAGTTCAGACTGAAAGTATTCAACAGCACAGTCTAGATCTGGGATAATGTTTAATCTGTGCCATGAGAGATTCTTGATATCATTTAAAAAGGATGCAAGATTAAATATTTTGAAGGATCTAGTTATTTTAACTTTGGGAGAGGATTTAATAGCCTTTATTTTGCGCACGCAGTACACTAAACAGTGATCACTGAACGTGTTTGGGAGAACACCAACCTCCTGCATTCTATCAGGAGAAGTGGAGAGAATCCAATCTAGCAGGGTATGGTTATGGCTTTTAATGTTTATGCGAGTTGGGGAGGAGATTAATTGCGTTAGCTGCAAAGTCTTAAACAGCGTTCAAGAACTATTATTTTTAGGGTTCAGCCAATCAATATTAAAATCTCCAAAGACCAACAGTTCACTTTTTGGGTTTTGAGCTATGGTTTCACTAAGGAGATGGGCTATGTCAGATAGGGAATGCACTGGGGAGCTAGGTGGGCGGTAGATTCCTGCAAAATGCTAGTTTAAATATTATTTCATGGTAAGGAAATTGCGAACAAAAAATGGAATTGCCTAATAATGGTCATTTGCATAATCACTTCGCAGATTAATGTTGGCCTTTTTCCAACTCACTTCACGTGCTTTTATCAGACAACAACACATATAATTCATTATTTCAAGTATTTAAATATAATAAATTACAATCTTCGCAATTAAAATGAACATAACCCCCACTATTTTAAATAGATGTATGATTAAAAGTAAAACGACAATAAAAAAAATCCAATAATTTCTCTCTTGATAAATAAAAATCCTGACACAATGTCCCACCTGGACTCCTGCAACTTGGCATTAATTTGCTGGTTCCGATTCCTATCCTCTTCATTAGAAATAGATCTATGTTAACAGATTATTAAGGGAGTGTGTCTGGGGAGATTTCATCTGAACTGAGTATCTTTTTCCAGTACCATTTGTTTTTTGCTTAAAATTTGCAATTAATTGTTTTTAATTCACCACAATTCACTATTTAGTGAATAGACCTCAATGGGGTTTGTTCAGTCTAATTTATATTAAACTGCACAATTTAGGTCACAATATCTGATTCTGAAAAATGATTGCATTTTGGTATAGTCGCAATGTGGCCTTTTTTTATACAAAATGTTGATATTCGGTTTTCAATTCTCTGCAATTTGGCGTTTAATGGGACACAGGTAAATTATCAAACCATGATAAACTGCTTTGATAAATTTACTGTAGATCGGTGGCACTCCTCTGTTGGCACCAAAACTACTGCCACATGCTGAAGTGGTCATGGTACTTGGAGTGTTTCTTTAATTGAGAAACTAACTACCTAATGAGATACTTTCCCAATAATTCCCACTTTCACTGTGCATTTTGTAAAAACCCTTTTCCGTTGATCTCTGAATCAGATTATGTTCTCTCTAAGTTCCCATTTCCTATGTGACACAGTGTGTTCTGTTATCCCATCCAATGCTTTGTATGAGGGGGGAAAAGGATTTAATGCAAATTCACACCAGATATATTCACAACATGTAGTGAGCTGCTAACTTATTCACATAAACTAAAATAATGTCTGCATTGTAATGAGATTTTCAGAACAACTTGAACTTGTCACGTCAGGAATGAAAACATCTTATTCTTTGTAATGAAGAAAGTTTTCCATCCGATCTGAAATCCCAAACGTAAAAGACAAAATATTAATATGGACGCAAGTCACGGCCTTTTCAGATTGAGTTTGCCTGTCGTACACATTGGGATAAAATATACCTCACCTTTTATAACAGTGTACAGAGAGTGCAAATTTGTCCTTCAAGGTACAGCATATAATATCTATCTGATTTCTATACAGTCTGTAGACATATTACGGTAGCCAAGATATAAAAGGTTAATATACAGCATACAACTTCTTCAAAACACAAGATTCAGATATAAATAAAGATAAAACAACAGTTTTTTGTGCACAGATGGCTGCTCTGGAATACAAATTAATAATCTGGAGGCTATGAAGTATTAGCAATTATACATTATGCCTTGTCTGCAAACTCTTTTAAATAATTGGCAGAGAAAATGTTAATGGATTACTGCTAGGACATAACTCTAATATGACAGAGTTAGATTACTAATAAAGTTCATGAGGATGTGCACCTATGTTCGAGAATACATATTCCCATACTACCAGCACAATTTGTAAATATTGTATGTAGCTTGTATGTTGCAGTAATGCCAAATACTATGAGATATGCATGTTCACTCCTAGACAGCTTTAATAAAAGTTCATTCTGTGAATTGTCACCTGTTACCTGTCACAGAAAGGCCAGATTCAGGAGCAGCGCAGTGTCAGTATATTTAGATTGGCAGACATTTTGTGCTAAAACAGAAATTAAAAGTGTATATTGCCAGTCACAGCCAAAACAGAGCTGACTCAATTTTGGATTTTCAGGTTAAGAAGACACAAAATTTCTTTCTGTAACTCTAGTCATTCGAGTCTGAGCTAAGGAATGCATTATGTAAACAAGACAAGTGATAACGCATGATGCCTCACAGCAAGAATATTAATCCAGAAACAAGTATATACATTATATATATATAACATTGTAAATTTTGGTCTGGATGGCAATAGACCAGCTATGCACCCGTAATATTGGCATTTTTTGAACTATCCTTTTCCATTTTTCTTAATTGAGTATTGGAATAATTTCTTTGTATCTAAAATTGGAGACAATACTATATATTGGGGCAACTACCAATTATTTTACAAGTGCACTACTGTTCTTGAAACCTGCAAGTTGTGCAGTGTTGGTATAGACAGTATTTGGTACCACATTTTTTATACACGTTATTTTTTGTATATTGTTATCACACTGAGCAAGGAACACCTATGGAAGATTTTTTTTCCCAAGCGGGAGGACTACTTGAACAAGCAGAAATTTTCCAATACACAGAGGAAGATGCTGATCGTATCAGTTGGGAGTCTTTAACTACAGACCTCCCACAAACAACTACACTCAATGAAATATACTTGGAACTTATACGTCTAAAAAAAAAGAAACTGACCTAGACCTACACGGGCTGTTCTTGTCAGATTACCATAGACAGCTACAGATAGGGGATTAAGGATAAAGAATACCCCCACGATAGGACGAGCCAAACCTAAAGTCTGCAAGAAGTGGATAGCGGTTTTGAATAAATGCTCACTGGATTTGATCCTCATTATAATAGAGGATGTTAAAGAAGATCTGATTAAAATTAGACAGAGGATCACACAACTGGAAGCCAGAGAAGCGATCCTATTGACATCTACAGAGGCTGCTCCTACTCTCTTGAGATTAGAACAAAATATAAAAGAATATAAGACAGATCTCATCAGATTCAAGCGTGAGAAACAAGAAAAAGTGAGAAGCGATTACGCTGAACATAGGGTTTACCGGTGGCTCAGCGGTCAGAACGAAATCCCACGATTCGCCAGGAATAGACGCCCTATTAAAAAACCCAGACAGTTACATATTCGTGAAGGGCACGATTGCCGGACATCCCTATACCTTGGCGTGTGTCTATGTGCCCAATACAGCACAACATAACACGCACACTGCACGCCCTGGAACGCTTTAGGGAAGGCATGCTGATCCTGGCGGGGGATCTCAACCTGGCCCTGGACCCGCGTCTGGACACCTCCCTGGGAACTAGCTCCCTACCGGCTTCCTACCAACGCAAGGCCCTCATGGCCCTCAAGAACTCGGGGTTGGCAGACTCATGGCGAGTGGCCCACCCACTAGGGAGGGACTACTCCTACTACTCTACGGTCCACAACCGCTACAGTCGGTTGGACTATATCGTCCTCCCCATTGAATATCTTTCGCTCTTGCAATCCAGTGGGATCCACGCAGCAACTTGGTCGGACCACGCACCGGTCTGGACTAAGATTGCCTCCCCGCTGTACAGACCACGGGAGAGGCAGTGGCGGCTCAATGAGCAAGTCTTGGAGGAGCTGGCGGCAACAATGGAGATGGGTGACGCACTGCAGAAGTACTTTGAGGAGAACACCACCCCAGACGTGGAACCATCGACGATATGGGAGGCACACAAATGCATGATTCGCAGCCATCTCATACGTTACTGTACTCAACGGAAGAAAGCCCAAAGGCAAGCAGTCACGGACCTGGCACAACAAGTGGCAACCCTTGAAACCCTACATAAGACTACCCTATCAGAAGATACCTACAGAGAACTCCTGGAAGCGCGGAGAAACCTCAAACAATTGCTCTCACAAGGCCTCCTCCGAACCATTCGCAGATCTCGTAGACACTTCTACGAATACTCGGATAAATGCGGGAGACTCCTGGCCAGGCGCCTGCAAAGGGAACGAAGACTCACACACATAACCAAGATCCGTGATCAGACCGGCGTGCTCACTCAACGCCCAGACAGAATAGCGACGGCCTTTCACCATTTCTATACGGAATTATATAACATCCCGGAAACGCGAGGTGCAGCGGCCCGGCAGAGGCGCGAAACTGAGATCGCCAACTACCCGGAACAACATATCTCCCGGGCCCTTACGGACGATCAAAGGACTGAAATGGAAGAACCCATCTCACTAGAGGAACTCAAATACGCTCTTAAGATCGTCAAAGCCCATAGGGCGCCGGGCCCGGACGGCCTCCCCGCGGCATATTACAATAAATTTCAAGACATCCTGCTGCCACACCTTCTAGGTAACCTAAATCACCTACTGGACGGTGGCCACCTCCCGAGAGACACACTGGCTGCCACAATCTCTCTCATCCCAAAGGACGGGAAGGACCTGACGAACTGTTCCAGTTAAAGGCCGATCTCCTTACTCAACTCTGATTTGAAGCTGTTCACTAAAATTCTGGCCTTGCGAGTGGGGCGTGTATTGCCGGACCTGGTGCATCCGGATAAGGTGGGATTCATTCCCGGCAGGGAGGAACGCGACAACACCATCAGGGCTCTCAACGTGATCCACTTGGCGGGGAGCGGTCGGAGGGGGATCCTCCTCCTCTCGACCGACGCCGAGAAGGCGTTCGATCGGGTGGATTGGGGATTCATGCTGGCGACGCTCCGTATGATGGGATTCGGGCCACACATGCTGACCTGGATAACTGCCCTTTACACGATACCTACAGCTCGCCTGCACATCAATAGTGCCCTAACACAGCCATTCAACATCCGCAATGGCACGAGGCAGGGGTGTCCCCTGTCCCCCCTCCTGTTTTCCCTCTCCCTGGAACCATTCCTGGGGGCCTTCAGACGGGATGGGGAATCACGGGCCTCGCCTATAATGGTCTGGAGCAGAGAGTTGCGGCATATGCGGATGACCTCCTCATCTTTCTTGTTCACCCACTCATCTCCGGGAGTACGGCCTACTCTCTAACCTTAAACTCAACGCTGAGAAATCGGAAGCCTGCCCGCTAAACCTATCTGCCGCTGACACGACTCATCTATGAGCACAGTCTCCATTTAAGTGGTGTGCGGATAAGCTCAAATACCTCGGCATCTGGCTCACCGGAGACACAACGTGCCTATTCCAGGAGAACTTTGTACCCATTCTCCGCACGCTACAGCACGACATGATGAACTGGGGCGGCCTGTGCATTTCATGGTTCGGGAGAATCAACGCCTTAAAACTAAACCTTCTCCCTCAACTTCTTTACCTCTTCCAGACCATCCCAATTATGATACCCAGGACTTTCTTCCAGACGCTCAATACTGAGATAATAAAATTTGTGTGGAAAACGGGACGACCTAGGGTTAACGGGGCACTCCTGTCCCTGCCCAAACGGATGCGGGGCTTGGCTCTCCCTTCGCTAGTCCACTACTACAGGGCCACCCACCTTCTCCGGCTGGTGGACTTTCACACACTAAACTCAGACAAGCTCTGGAGGGAACTGGAGAATAGCCAAGTGGCTCGAAGGTTGCCATCCGCGGTATGGACAGCGCACCCCCTAAAGGACCCCAGAATGACCCACAACCCGTTTATCCGGGCCACGACGCAGGTATGGATTGCCACCCGCCTGAAGGATGGACTCACTACAATGTCAGGTCCTCTGATGCCTATAACTCATAATCCAGATATCGCGGGCGGCCTGTGACCTGGGGATGTGACGGGACTCGAGGACCCGGACTGGACCTATATGAAACATCTATGCTCCACAACGGGACTGAAAACATTGAGGGAAGTGATCCCAGACGGCACCATCTCGTTAATGACTAGGTTCTGCCATCATCAGATCCAGCACTTCTACCGAACCACGGTGGGCAAACACCTGTTCCATAGAGAACTAACCGCCTTTGAACACATGTGCGTAGCCAGGGATAGACCACTGAAAGGAATCACACGACTCTACTCCCTACTGCTCACAACCACACCACGCGCACCACCGCGATATATGTCCCGCTGGGAACAAGCTACAGACCAAACAATAACAGACCAACAATGGGAGAAGATCCACGTGCTGACACACCAAGGCACGCTCAGCTCAAAAATACAGGAACTTAACTACAAAATTATGGTCAACTGGTACAGAACCCCAGCGAAACTATATCGCATGAACCGAGAAATTCCTCACATCTGCTGGAGATGCGGAGCCGAGGGTGGGACAGACTTCCACATATGGTGGTCGTGCCCTACAATCCAGCAGTACTGGAAACAAATCCAGTCCAAAATTCAGAGCATCGTAGACCCGGACCTACCGTTCCAGCCCTTACCGATGCTACTCCACCACACCACACGTCCTATAGCTACATACAAACGTTCCCTAACCAAACACCTACTTAATGCAGCGAAATCTCTCATCCCCACCAAATGGCGCGCGGCAGAGCCACCGACGATGGAGCAATGGATGGCCCGCATAGAGAACATATACAGCATGGAATCCCTCTCGGCATCGCTACACGGCACAGGAGACAAATATGCTATCACCTGGCTCCCTTGGTGCACCTATATAGACCAGAGACGAACCGCAGTGACCAGGGACGAAAGCCACTAGGTAGCGGAGAACTAGGGAAGCACTAGACCCGCTCCACAGAGACCATACGAGATATAAGAACCCTCATGCCTCCCCCCTCCCCCCCCTTTTTTTCTTTCTCCTTGCTTCTCTTTTCTCTCTCTCTCACTATTTCCCTCCTTCCCCCCCCCTCCCCTGCCTCCTACCTCCAGGCCAGACCCTCGGCCCCCCTTTCCTTCCCCCCAGTCAGGAGGTCATAGGCATGACGGTGATGGACAGGGGACGCGGGGGGTGGGGAGAACCCATGGCCCAAACGTACAGACCTATGGGGGGTATGGGAGGGGGGAGGCATACCAGAGGGGGACAGCTACTAGAGCCAAACCCTGGACCGGGAACACAGTCATGCCTAACGGGGGGGGGGCGGACAGACGTAACACACCGGGTACCCTGACCAACCCAACAAGTATGCAACCATACAAAATCCGACATGGTGGGCTGGTGTCAGGTTACCTGTAAATTCAACTTCTGAGGAGGTCAGTCTCTCTTCCAAAGGGGCTCCTATGCCCAAGCATTTCTGCATTTTTCGGCCGTTTTCGCGCCGGCCGCGCTAGCTCCTCCCCCTTTTATGACGCGACGGCTAATCGTCAACGTCATGACGTCATCATCACGTGAACCGCCGGGAACTGCAATTCCGGACCTTTTGGGGGCGTGGTCATAATTAAGGTGACAGGGTATTTAAGGGAAGCTTTTACTACTGCTCATTGCCCTGTCGTGGTTCTAGCTTGCTAGTCACTCATAGAAACATAGAAACATAGAAACATAGAAACATAGAATGTGACGGCAGATAAGAACCATTCAGCCCATCTAGTCTGCCCAATTTTCTAAATACTTTCATTAGTCCCTAGTCTTATCTTATAGTTAGGATAGCCTTATGCCTATCCCACGCATGCTTAAACTCCTTTACTGTGTTAACCTCTACCACTTCAGCTGGAAGGCTATTCCATGCATCCACTACCCTCTCAGTAAAGTAATACTTCCTGATATTATTTTTAAACCTTTGTCCCTCTAATTTAAGACTATGTCCTCTTGTTGTGGTAGTTTTTCTTCTTTTAAATATAGTCTCCTCCTTTACTGTGTTGATTCCCTTTATATATTTAAATGTTTCTATCATATCCCCCCTGTCTCGTCTTTCCTCCAAGCTATACATGTTAAGATCCTTTAACCTTTCCTGGTAAGTTTTATCCCGCAATCCATGAACCAGTTTAGTGAACCACTCAGCGCGTTCTCTCTCTTTGTGTTTTTCGGTTTTGACCTAGCTTGTACCTTTGTCCTGCTGCTCTCTCCTCTCCTTTGACCCGGCTTGTTCCTCGCTTACCTGTCCTCCGGCTCCCTCGACCTCGGCTTACCTTTTGACCATTCTTGTCTTGTCTATACGTTAGTCCGGCCATTCTAAGGTCCGGTATACGTACCTCCTCCTGTCCGCACTCTGCGTATTGGATCCCTGTCACGATCCTGACATTACGACAGGGCCATATGGATCCTGCAGGTGCTAGTCCTCCTGACCCCAGATTTGAGGCCATGGACCATAGAATGGACCAAATGGCTCTAGCGTTGCAATCTTTGCTAGCACGTCCCAGTACCCAGTCAGAAGAAATACGTTCCACAGCTAGCCATCCTCTAAGTACTGGTTTTGGAAGTAGCCACTGTAGGCGCATCTTCCCATGTAACTTCCCCGTTACGATATGGGGGTTCGTCTGATACTTGTCGAGGTTTTTTAAACCAGATAAGCATACATTTTGAACTTCAACCCCGGGCTTATCCTACTGACAGGGCTAAAGTAGGGTTCATTATAACACTGCTAATAGACAAAGCACTTAGATGGGCCAATCCCCTTTGGGAGAATGATAACCCTTTAGTCTACAACTATACTGCGTTTGTCACAGCTTTCAGAAGGACTTTTGACCCCCC